AGTGCATCACCATCATCATTATCCCTATCATCATCACCAACAATGACAATGGCAATGTATTCTCTCATCAATTCGTTTATCTTTTGTCACAAGTTAAGGTGAACGAAACTCCGTTTAGGCCAGCCCGAGATTCGCATAAACGAAAGTATCAGAAAAGGGAAGCATTTTTTTTTTCTCTTTTCCCTTTGCTTAAGTTTTTCTGTGAGTTTTAATATGGCGATGTTTTTTTTAGGACTATGAATTTTGGCTTTTTAGCTATTAAAAACTGAGAGGCCAAAGTTGTTGAGTGACACTTTTAGAGAAATGAAAATGGATGCACTTTATGCAATATTACGTCAGTTACATAACTTTATTTCGAGGATTAAAGTTTATTTTGTTATAGCACTTTCGATAAACAATGAGTGCTCCTTCTATAAATGTATCATTGGTGATATTTTTTCAGATCGGATTGATATATTTCTTATTATTCTCGGTTAGATAACATTTGATTATAAAATTATAATGTGAAAGTTGCGTAAGAATGATTAGCATTAAGATATATCGGGAAGCAAAAATCAGGACGTGAAATAATAGAAATTGTCAGATATTTTAGATACTAATAACTGAGAAGAAAAATGAATATGAGTGAAAAATGAGTATTGGGACATCAAATAACCTGTGCCATTTGCACCTGGATGAAAGGTGGATGTTGTTTATAGCTGAGCGGTATTTGCGATATCTCCCCTGAAATTTTATCCTTCATCGTATCTACCGTAATAATTCTATCTAAGCGAGTCCAAAAGTTTACTCACGTTCTTCCGATTATTAAATGTTATGAATAATTGACTTATTCACAAAAGCTAGAGAAAATCTTAATTGTTCTCTCGACTTATTTATTTGTCTGCTTAATCACTTAATTAATTGATCTTATTAATCAGTTTATCTACTAGCTACATTCTCAGTCCTCATCGATTTTTTTTAAGTTGCTAATGTAACGCCTAATATAGAATAATATATTTCACGTTTTCCAGAAACTTTGAAAATATGTTCTACCATACTTTGATACTCTTTAATAACTGTTATGATTCAGTGTCATTCACATTTGTTTGGAGCTTAGCAAGCTCCCCACCACGTGGGGAAAATGCTTTCATTTCAAAAGAAGCGGAAATATCGACTTTTCATCCATTTTTATTGCTGATTGTATAAATGTCAACAGGTTATTGCTATTAGCTACCGATATAATTTTAAAAAAGGAAAATGATTGCTATTTTTATTGTTCACACAAAGGTGTTGACGATATTTCTTTATATGACCGATAATGGAGTAAAGGAAAAGCCCTTCCTGCTAAATTATCGCCTTACTATGGTGATATCGACTTTATGCTTACTGAAAACCATAATATAAGTAATTAGGACAAATAATTGGATCATTCAAATATCTAAAACTATTTACTATGGCAAATTCCTTTAAATTTCTTAAATTTTAAACAAAATTTAAACTTCTCGTCTTGTTTGCTTATTTCTCACTCTTATTTCTGTCATTTCAATATAACGATATATATGATCGAATAAATTTCATAGTGTTAGAGATTGCCTGGTGTTACGATACTGAACATTTCAAGTTGCAAAACATTTCCTGTTGTAAAGAAGTAACTTAATGAAAAAATATTAGTGTTAATTTTAAATAATATATGCTAATTTGTGGTGCAGTCTACAAATGAAGCAGGTCACTTTGCAAGACAATGAGTAGAACAATGAGTTGACAATGAGTTATTTTGAAGTTTTATAATTTTAATTTGATTCTAATTTCTCCCAGTTGTTTTTTCTTTTTCAAATTAACATCTTCCTATCAAACATTAAAGGTTATAACGTGATCTTTATATAATTGGAAATAGAGAATTTAAGCAAAAAGAGACTTTTCACAAGGTTACTAATTCCAACAAAATTCCTTTTCCCTTTGGAATATCAAATCGTAAATGGTTTACTCTTAATATTGCTTAACTCTTCTATGCTACATTATAATTATTATTCTAAACATATTTTGCCCATCTCTTTTTAAATGATTAATTGCAGAATGGAAAAATTCAAATGTTTCATTTTGATTTGAACTCAATCTTTACTTTCTAGAAATTGCATCTAAGCAATGCTAATTTGCAAGTATGCATTCATATTATGCAGTTTTCTACCTTTCATACAAATTTCAGTGGAAAAACTTGAGAAGAGAACATTATAATCCCAGTCCTTTTTGACAGTAACATATTTTAAGCGTAATTTTTTCGGTTTTATCACTTTTCCCTAGTTTTGCGTGCTTCGTTTAGCATTTACTTACTATTAATTGTTGGACTTTAATGCATACATATACTGAATTTTCTTCAAATGTTTCAGTCATTTTTCATATCAATGCAGTGATTTTCGAGAAAAAATTACAGTTTATATCAAATTTGGAAATTAATTCAACAATTCCACGGAAATTCTCCGGTGTACATGTATCAGCATGAATTCCAGGCATTGCTATTATTGCTAAAACTGTTAATTGTGATATTGTCTATTCTCGGAGGACTCTAATAATCAAGCTGGCGTTCTGTTTTGCAAGATTTGCAACATTTGTAGATCCGTTTGTGACAAAGAAAGTAATGTGGACAAAACGTGACAAGCGTCTCGAGTCCTTCTTCGTTAGGCCAAGTTCAAGCCATATGGAAATGACGAACTATTTCCATTTCCATAAAGCACATCCTAGCCAAGTGCTACCCACGTCGACGATGACCAGTTCACTCGGTTCAGCACCTACAGTACTTTGGAAGACTAACGGCGCACGACGCAGACGCTTCGGTTTGTTTTACTTTTAGTTATGATTGGTTTATGTTCGTACTGTAGATTTCAGATCTTTTTTTATTTCGTTCCCATTGCGACTGTCTCTCAAAAATTTATTACCGCAGAAGTCTTTTCACTACAGAATGATTTGAGGTACCTTATATTAAGGTTACTTTTAAAAGGAAATAATTATTAGACAAGTGAGAGGGAATTTAGAACCTCTTATACACTTGAAAACGATGATCTTAGCCTAGTCACCTTCTTACCTCATTAATTCATTAGCTAATGGGTCATTGTGCTACGTGAGTGACTATGAACTCAAGACTTGACCCCAGCTGACCTTTACACTTCCATTAGCTACTTTAAATAAGTTAAATAAATGAATGTGTTACATTTTTCATGCATAATAGTCGGGCAAAACAAAAGAATGAGTTAATTTAGAAATTTAAGTCACAAAAAAAAAAACTCGTATTTCCATTATTATGGTTTCACTTTTAAAAATCTCAATGAATTTTTTTACCTCCTATTAGTGACATTAAGCAAGCTAATTAAAAACTTAGCTAATTAAGTTTTCTAGTCAGTCAAAGAGAAATACTTCAATGTATAATTTACTTCAATGTATAATTTTGTATAATTTTGTATAATGTATAATTTTCTATATTATTAACTTCATTAATTTGTCCTTTATGTACTTCATTAAATTCTTCAAAATTCCCTGGCATCCTCATAATTTTCTTAGAATTAAAGCCTGCAAGAGGAACATTTGCATATCTCAAAACTTCACGCTTTTTGAAATTGTCTTCCAACTCAAATAAAGAGTTAATATTGCGGCGCTGAATAAAGACTAAATCTTGAACATAGCCAAATATGCAAATTATTTCCTTGAAAAAGGCTGCCTAATATTTTTGTTAAGATAGAAATTTATTTGATTCCAGTAGTAATCAGAGAAATGAAGGAATGCAAAGAAAGCCATTTTAAAAAATTTTCAAATTTTGTCATTTATTTTGGCCAAGATGATATGGTTTTGTCGGAATTTAGTTTGTCACATTTTCTGCTTGCAAGTATTTTATTTCATTCTTCTCTAGAGTGAATGGAAAAGATCGTCTCACTTTCACTTTGAATGAAACAGTTGAAAGCATTTAATCGAACTAGATTTTCAATTTGTCTCATTTATTGTAAATTCTAAACTTTTATAAAGTACTTTTATCGCTACTTTGTTAATTACTTCCCTCAAAGTTTGGAAAGATGAAAGTAACGAAAAATAAAATTTGTTAATATTTCATTATGGGGCTGTATCAATCAAGGCTAATGAATTATTTTCTTTAAAGAGAAGTTTAATTTTGTTAACATCATTTATTTACAGTATGCATTCATGTTTACACAATTTTCATAGTTTTCTTTGAATGCATTTTTGAAGTTTCATTTCTCCTTGTGGACGATAATTGTTTCGCTAAAATTTTAGAAATAAAAAAATGAATGGAAATATACGAATCTTTCAAGCATACATGCACTTATAATAGCTTACCAAGAACATTTCTTTCCTGGACCAATTTTTGTTTTTTTTTTCAAGTGCAGAAGGAAGGGGGAAAAAGTCTTATAGCAAATATGTAATCAAAAGGCTATTCCATTAAATTAACAGTTTGCTCGAATACTGTGAAAATTGCATTGCACTGTTAAGAGAAAGTAACTATACTGCTACTTTAATATCTGGCCTGAAGTTTAGGAAAGGCTCTCAGGCCATTATGGAGCACATTTCAATTTACCTACCTCTTCTCATCCATTTCAACTCATCTTTCTCTTTCCTGCCTTCTCTCCTTCAAATTTAAATATGAAAATTCAAATATTAATGGAACATTAACAAATGAACCGATCCAGTTCCTCTGCAAATGCTCGAGTTAATGCTTTACATTATGCTATTGACATCCCTTCGTTCTCCGTAATTTGACAAATGACTTCCTCGATTATGCAAAAGTTATCCTGCAGAAAATCATTGAGTAATGGTTAAAATTTGAAGAAGAGAGAAAAATAAAAAGCAGAATAATTTTCAACTTCTACTTCATTTTTTCTTATCCCACATCTTGCGTCATTTAAAAGAATTTAAAGTTCCAAATGGTTGAAGTAAGATTCCGTAAAGAAGGGTCATAACTGTTGCAAAAAGCGTCGGAGAATTAAGTTCATTTATCTTAGTTCATTTACTTTCTTACAAGCATTTGCTGAGGACTCATTTAAGAGAGAATTAACAGAACTGAAAATGTCCTTTCATAATTCGCTGATAACTTGTGAAAGAGGCGTGAAAATGGACTTCATGCGTTCGATGTGGGAAAAGAGAACTGAAGTGGGACATCATTAATAGTTTCTGCATCGATTGTATATCCCAACCCTCTCATCATTTATCATTTAATCCAACAGGAAGTGGAGTGAAAGAATTATTTTATCTTTATATACTCTTTAAGGGTTTTCTCAATCTTTTTCAAATAAACAATCTTTGTATTTTTTTCTTGTTGCGCAACAACCGAGGGAAACTGCGCCGAAGGGATAGATCAAAAAGTAGCGTATTCCTTGAAGTGAAGTGACACATTCAACGGAAATCCCGATCACTTTAATCTACCAGTACTCGAACATATTGAGATTTATGACTTGACGATCATTTTGAAGTAGTTATTAACAAGAAGTCCATGAGGACAACGACGTTTAGAGTAGAAATCAGGCGAGGATTGGTTTTATCAATGTATGATAAACTAATGCTCCAAAACTTTTGATTAAAGTTTGTTTTCAAACCAAACATTTTATTATTTTTGAACTTTCTGGTCCATGCTACAAACGAAAAAGCCAAAACGGTCTGTGGTCAAAAAAAGGTTGGGTATCACTATAAAAGTAAGTAAGCTGGTGAAAATTGCGTATTAGATTGTAATAGGTTCTCGTAAGTTCTACGTGATCGTTGTGTTGTCTTAAAAAAATTGCCATTCATATGATGACGAAAATGAAACATTTTCATATATCTCTCTTTTGGGAACTTTTTTTAGTTTATTTCCAGTTTTTCACATTTTTTTCCAAAACTTCTCACTCTTTGCCGTGTCATTTCAAATATAAAATCGAAAATGTCTCATTCATTTCAAATTCTTTTTCATGTTTTTCATATGAAAAGATTTATGATATGATTCAAAGTGAATTACTTATCTTTATGAAAAGTTTTAGAAAACCATATAGTACAAACGATGTAATAAGAAATGTGAAGTCTTTGAAATGTAGAATGAATGATAATTTCAAGGACCTATAAACAACGTACTAACTTTTGCAACTCATATAATTATTGGTGATTTTTTTTTTTTTTGCAAAGTATTATCACGAAGTCTAAAACTTCTGAGATGCTTATCAAGAAATCTAAAACTCTTCCAGCAGCACTGTCAAAATTGGCAATTGTAGAGTGGTTTGTCATGCCTGCTGACAACAAAAAAACTTTTATTAATTTGAAACATAGAAAACCAAAACTTTACACTGCTAGTAGAAGGGCCGACAAAATGATCGATAATTTATGTTCAACCAATAATTGCGGTTTCCAAAAATATTTTGCATAAACAATAATACACACGATATTCATAAAATGCTCAATATCGTAATTAATGATTTTAGACGAAAATGAAGGAGGTTATTTATAGGACTATTCTTGATTTTTTCCTATCTCTCTCAAGTGTTAGATCTTTCCTGATAAAAGATCAAATTAGTTCGTATAAATTCAAATCAGTTTCAGGAATCTAATCCGCATTCAGTTAGATTGTCGATTTGCTATTAATTTGATGAATTCAGTTTAATACAGACGCCTCATCTATGTGTAATAAAAGACATTTTAAATCACTCATTGTACTTTATCTTTACTAAATGTTACAATGTTGCAACTATTTAGTAATATAATGCAATATATATATATATATATATATATATATATATATATATT